CCCCCCCCCCCCCCCCCCACCTCTCACACACACCCATTCCCCGTCTCACTCAACCTTTACCACCAGCTACTCCCCGACGTTTCCACCTCCTCTGATGAAGCCTTGGAGCACTTATTTCCTCCAAAGCACGGGAACAGGGCCTGGAAACTACAGCGACACGTCGTAGCGAACAGGAACAGCGCCACCAAGGCCACAAACTGGATGACCGCCCAAGTCAGCATGGCTTCTAACTGGAATCGCATGCGCTTCCGCTGAGCCACGATGTTTTCTAAGTCCTTGGGTACATTTTGGCGAGGTGCGTAGCCGCCTGAGGCTGTCCCCATGGTCATCTCATTGCTGTTGTTCAAATCGTTTCGTCTGGAATGAACACTCACATTTTCGCACAGCAATGTTTGTTCCGAGAGAATTTGAGAAAGAGACTTGCTCTCGGTTTTTATTCTTATTTGTTCGGTATTTGGTTTCGGTCGTAAAGAATACTGCAAGAATTTTGAGTCCGATATCTGACAATTGTTCCTATCCCCCACCAAAGAAAATTTTAGTTGTCCCTGGAAACAGTTGGTTGACAAGTTATCATATTGTGATCTGGACATAAATTGTTTGCTGTTATTACACGAAACGTTAGGCGAAGTCCCAGGACCCAGGCAAGTAGAACTATTTACAATTTGAGATTGCTTCTTGTGTGAAGAACATCCCAGAGTTCGGGTTTGCTCCTTGTCAGACACCTCTATGCAGTCGTAGAAGATAGTAGCATTATTGTTATTACTGAAATTGGCCACAGCTTCTTTTACAGCTTCATGTGTTACTGTCAGTTCTAGACACTCGAAAAACCGAGATTCCATGCTAAAAGTTGCAAAATCATGCGCCAGTTCTTCTGAGATATCCCACCAGACCGGGCTCCATCTGACTGGAACTATCTGTCTTGATTCCAGGCTACCAGTGGCTCCTGGTATGTTGGCCCAGTTTTTATCCTGGAGAGCAACAAGGGAATCGATTAGATTATGGTTGCGAATCGCAAGGTAGGTGGATGAACTGTTAACCGTATGAAAAAGTTTCAAGATGGATTAGTGGACACTAGACTCAAACGATCAAAAGGAGTTTGGCTACATACATAATGCATTAATTCTTAGTTGATAATTAAACGTTGGTTTATCTCTGGATCGATCACAACAACAACAACAACACTGGATCGATAACAACCCCGCTGCATTGTTGTCGAGCACAGCTACAACAGAGCTAGAACTCTGGTGAGTTCGAATATGCAGTCTAAACAGACGGCCACCCATTTTGTTAGAGGAAAGGGGCCCATCTTAGACAGGTACACATTTTACACACTATCAGTATAATTTTAGGAAATCGAAAGGGGGAACTGGGAAGCGGTTGCCTTATACGGAGAACCATTAGAGCAGGTTCGACTGTGTTTTTCTACGGTTCGTTTCGTACTAGTACTACGCATGCCAAGAGTTGCACGCGGCTTCTTGATTTTTCCCGAGCGTTCTGGCCATCTTAAGACTGGACAATATTCCCCGCCCGTAAAGGACACACAGCAACAGCTCCCTGTCAGGCAGTTGGAAATGTTGAGGTCCTCATCAATCAGGGAGTGTACTCGCTTAACGTGTTGTTGAAAAGCGATGGATGGAGAAGATGAACCCAATACAGCGATTGATTCAAATTAAGAAGCCTTGCCCAAGGCTGTCACTTGGTAACTCCTAAAGCCTATTAATGAACTTTAAAATTAAAAGAAAAACGAACCGAACAACCCAC